GAAATTGGGGATGGGGTTTTCTCCAACCACAAACCCATTTCTTTCAACACTTCTTTTATCAAGTAGTCCAAACCCCCTCCCCCTCCAGCAAGGCCTTGTCAAATATTTTGTCAAATATTGTGGGGCGGCTGTGGCTGAGTGGTTAGAGCAGTCGTCCTCCAATGCGAGAGTTGGGGGTTCGAATCAACCAGCAGTCACATGCCGAAGTGTCCCTGGGCAAGACACTGAACCCCTCATAGCCTCAGATGTGTGTCCCATCGGTGTATGAATGTGATAAAGCTCTGATTAGTCTCTTTAAAATGATTTGTTCAATTAGCTTTGTAGAGATCTAGTAGAGTGCTGTATGAATGGGTAAATGAGGACACAGATTGTAGTGTAAAGCACTTTAAGTATCTTGAAATAAGATAAAAAGGCACTATGTACAGGTCCTTCTCAAAAAATTAGCATATTGTGATAAAGGTCATTATTTTCCATAATGTAATGATAAAAATGAAACTTTCATATATTTCAGATTCATTGCACACCAACTGAAATATTTCAGGTCTTTAATTGTTTTAATACTGATGATTATGGCATACAGCTCATGAAAACCCAAAATGCCTGTCCCAAAAAATTAGCATATCATGAAAAGGTTCTCTAAACAAGCTATTAACCTAACCATCTGAATCAACGACGTAACTCTAAACACCTGCAAAAGATTCCTGAGGCTTTTAAAAACTCCCAGCCTTGTTCATTACTCAAAACCGCAATCATGGGTAAGACTGCCGACCTGACTGCTGTCCAGAAGGCCATCATTGACACCCTCAAGCAAGAGGGTAAGACACAGAAAGAAATTGCTGAATGAATAGGCTGTTCCCAGAGTGCTGTATCAAGGCACCTCAGTGGGAAGTCTGTGGGAAGAGAAAAGTGTGGCAGAAAACGCTGCACAACGAGAAGAGGTGACCGGACCCTGAGGAGGATTGTGGAGAAGGGCCGATTCCAGACCTTGGGAGACCTGCAGAAGCAGTGGACTGAGTCTGGAGTAGAAACATACAGAGCCACCGTGCACAGGCGTGTGCAGGAAATGGGCTACAGGTCCCGCATTCCCCAGGTCAAGCCACTTTTGAACCAGAAACAGCGGCAGAAGCATCTCGCCTGGGACTGCTGCTGAGTGGTCCAAAGTTATGTTCTCTGATTACATTAAATTTTGCATTTCCTTTGGAAATCAAGGTCCCAGAGTCTGGAAGAAGAGCGGAGACACAGAATTCACATTGCTTGAGGTCCAGTGTCAAGTTTCCACAGTCACTGGGGTGTCATGTCAGCTGCTGGTGTTGGTCCACTGTGTTTTATCAAGGGCAGGGTCAATGCAGCTAGCTATCAGGAGATTTTGGAGCACTTCATGCTTCCATCTGCTGAAAAGCTTTATGGAGATGAAGATTTCATTTTTCAGCACGACCTGGCACCTGCTCACAGTGCCAAAACCACTGGTAAATGGTTTACTGACCATGGTATTACTGTGCTCAATTGGCCTGCCAACTCTCCTGACCTGAACCCCATAGAGGACCTGTGGGATATTGTGAAGAGAAAGTTGAGAGACGCAAGACCCAACACTCTGGATGAGCTTAAGGCCGCTATCGAAGCATCCTGGGCCTCCATAACACCTCAGCAGTGCCACAGGCTGATTGCCTCCATGCCACGCCGCATTGAAGCAGTCATTCATGCAAAAGGATTCACGACCAAGTATTGAGTCATAACTGAACATGATTATTTGAAGGTTGGCGTTTTTTGTATTAAAAACACTTGTCTTTCTTTGGTGGGATGAAATATGCTAATTTTTTGGGACAGGCATTTTGGGTTTTCATAAGCTGTATGCCATAATCATCAGTATTAAAACAATTAAAGACCTGAAATATTTCAGTTGGTGTGCAATGAATCTGAAATATATGAAAGTTTCATTTTTATCATTACATTATGGAAAATAATGACCTTTATCACAATATGCTAATTTTTTGAGAAGGACCTGTAAGTAGTCCATTTACCATTTACCATATCCCTTCCACTGCTGCGCTCTTTTCCTCTGCTTTTACTAAAAACTCTCTCTCTGTCTGTGACTCCTTTTCCATGAACACCCATTAGCTAGTCACTGTACATCAAGAGACCAGTGCTAAGGTTCTTGACCTAATTGCCCCATTAAAAATTAGGCATCCAAAATTAGGCACTCCACACCCTTGGATGAATGAGATCACTCGCCCAGCCAAACGTCAATGCAGGAAAGCTGAACGTAAATGGAAGAAGGACAAACTTCACGTTTCTTTTATCATGCTAAAATCATGTTACAAAGAGTATCAGGCCACTGTTAAATCAGAAACAACAAATATTTCTCCCAAATCATCACCTCAAACAGCCACAATCCCCACAATCTTTTCAACACCATTAACTCCATTTTAACCGTGACTCAGTCTGCCAACAGGGAGGTCTCTGCAGTTACGTGTGAGGACTTTGCCAGTTTCTTTGTTAAAAAGGTTGAGTCGATCAGGTCACTGATTCCTCACACCACAGCTGACCCCTCTCTTTGTCCCCTCCACGTCAGTCTTTAACCAGTTTGAACCCATTTCCCTCTCATTTCTAAATGATGTCATTGGTCATTTGAAACTCTCAGGTTCCCCTGCTGACCCCATCCCTGCATTGTTTTTTAAACAAGTCCTACCCTCCATTGGACCCTCTGTTCTTGACATTATAAACAGCAGTATAGCTACAGGTGTAGTTCCTAATGCTATTAAACATGCAGTGGTAACTCCTTTAATAAAAAAAAAACCTGGACTTGACCCTTCAACCTGCTCAAACTTCAGACCCATCTCCAAACTTCCCTTTCTTTCTAAGATCCTGGAGAAAATAGTTTTCACTCAATTAAACGAGTTCTTGAGTAGAAATTCTATTATTGAGATCTTTCAGTCTGGCTTTAAGAAAATACACAGCACCAAAACATCCTTAGTTAGGGTCTGCAACGACATTCTTCTGGCAAATGACTCTGTTCAGTCTGTAGTACTGGTACTCCTTGACCTTACCGCTGCGTTTTATACTGTGGACCACAGTATCCTTTTATCCTGGCTAGAACAATGGGTTGGGATTACTGGTGCAGCGTTAGAATGGTTCCATTCATACCTGAGCGACAGGAGTTTCTGTGTTAATTTTGCTTACACTCTATCTACTTAAGTGCCTCTTTCCTGTGGGATCCCGCAAGGCTCCATTCTTGGACCCCTTCTGTTTTCATTGTATCTCCTCCCCTTAGGGTCTATCCTGAAGAAACATGGTCTTTCCTTTCATTGTTATGCAGATGACTCCCAGATTTATCTGCCGTTAACACTAGCAGTTCCTCCTCCATTCGCCCTTTGTTAAAATGTCTTGAAGACATCAAGACTTGGACCTCAGAAGACTGAGGTCATTGTATTTAACCCTAGCTCTGCCACTGTCACTGATCCTGCAAACCTGGACTCCCTTCAGCCATATCTAAAACAGTCTGTTACCAATCTCGGGATAGTTTTAGACTCAGAATTTAAGTTTAATAAGCATATAAATGCTGTTCTTCAAAAAAAAGCTTCTTTCAGTTAAGGCAGATAGCTAAGCTCAAGTCCATGCTGTCCAGATCCGACCTTGAAAAATTAGTCCATGCATTTATTACAACCTGGCTGGAGTACTGTAACTCGCTTTATGCTGCGGTCAGTCAGGTCTTTCTCTCTCTCGTCTCCAGCTCATCCAAAATGCTGTAGCTCGGCTACTAACAGGAACTGGCAGGTTTGAGCACATTCTTCCAGTTCTGTCCTCTCTTCACTGGCTTCCTGTGCGTGTCAGAGTTGATTTTAAGATTCTTCTGCTGACATTTAAGTGTGTTAATGGCCTTGCACCATCATACCTCTCCGACTTTCTTCATCCTTATACTCCTTCTCGGGCCTTGAGATCATTAGACCAGCTGCTTTTGGCCGTACCTAAAACCAGCTGAAGCTCAGAGGAGATCGGGTGTTTTCAGTCATGGGCCCTAAACTCTGGAACAATCTGCCCATCAACATTCGACAGGCCACCTCAGTCTCTATTTTTAAATCTCTCCTCAAAACACATCTGTACTCACTGACACATCTGTACTCATTGGCATTTAACACAGTGTGATCTCATTTGGTATTTCGTTGTTGATGATTGTGTTCATCCATTTTGCTTTTACTCCCTGACATTTAACGTAGGGTGATTTGATTTAGTATTTCATTGTTTCTCATTATATTTCATGTTTTTATGCTTTTATTCATGTTGCTGTAATATCTTGTTATTAATATTTGATCCTGTGGTCTTTTTTGGTAAGCACTTTGATAACAGTTACTGTTTTAAATTTGCTATATAAATAAATGTGACTTGACTTGGCTTGACTTCATCAGGATTTGGTGAAATTTCAAACGATTAAAAATAAAAGCATATTTCCTAAAGTTGTTACACAGACAATAAATGGATATTTTTACAAGCTCTAACCTCTGAGCAGACACGTTATGCGACCCCCACCCGCCCCTTGTGTGCTCTAGCACCCCCTCCATGGGGGTCGGGCCCCCCAGGTTGCGAATCACTGGGTTAGAGCACTGGTGGTGTTAAATGTGTTTTTTTAAGCGCTGATGTGTATAATGTGTAAAATAAAAATGTGTACAACCATTTTCTAAATATGAATGGGACATTTTAAGTATTGAAACAACAAAAATCACAACAGAAATAAAAGCAACAATTTAGTTGTGGGGAGGGGGCCACGGCGGTGCTAACTCTCCCACACTTTGAAAGCCCGTTTTTAAGATTACCCATGTTCAAATGAGAAGAGTGGGTCTGAAAATGTTTAGAGCCCTCATGTCACAAACAATACTTTAGAAGGAAACCAGGTAAAGGACATCTGAGCCAACCTAATTTGTGTTTGCATGAACGCACAACTGAAACACAAACTGTTGGTAATCCAGAAGGAAGACATTTTCTGGAACTTTGTTTTTCCTCTTTCACAGATGGAAGAAGAGAAGAAAAGAAAGAAGGAAGAGGCTGCAAGAAAGAAACGAGAACAAGAGGTGAGTCTGGTGTTGAACTCTACACACATGCTCTTCACATGTTCACTGATGTATTTCCTTTCATTATTTCAGATGGCCAAACTCAACAAAATGAAGATCCCTCCCTGCGACATGTTTCGCTCTGAAACTGACAAATATTCCAAATTTGATGAGACGGTAAAACTTTTGTTCAGGGTCTTTGACATTACTGGGTTTTGTTTTTGTGTCGTTTCAGTTGGATTAAAAACGGTTGTGATAACAGTCAATCAAAATTCAGCTCCACTGGATGAAGAGCGACACATTTACTTTGTGTCGTTGTACAAAATGTTAAACAGAACAGAAACAGTGAGTGAAAAAGGTTGGTTACGTACTGTAACCCCAGATTCTATAAGTATAGGCGCAGCCCTTTAAGGCAATTCGCTAGTGGGCTTATCCCTTTGCGTGCAGCACAGCACTGAAAACTTTAGTCCGCGCCCACCGGCTAAGTGGGTCCCACCCCCGGTCCGTATAAATTACGGTGAGACAGGGCAATCTGCTCCCAAAATAGCTTTTTTCTTCAGCCATTTAGGAACCAGTGAGGCCCAGAGCTTAAAGGGCTGCGCCTATACTCATAGAGTCTGGGGTTATAGTACGTAACCAACGTTCTATTTCGTATAGGTTTCGCCTTTTAAGGCTATGCTAGTGGATTAAAGGCAAAGCAGTATGTAGTCTATACCTCACTGGGTCCATTCAGACACAAACATGAAGCACCTGCTTGCACAAAAAAAACATTTCATCACTCAGCCTTCTGTGTGCGTAATTACACGCTTCGTAATTACGTGCTGCATGCGCAGAAGCACACCGGAGAAAATATTTCTGGTGAGGAAAAAGGCTGAGATAGCAGACCTGCTGCTGTGAATAGGAACAATGGAGGTTACAAATTGTAACAGTGTAATGATGACCAGAGCAACCAACATCTCCTCAGGATGAACCGATTAATAACAGTAAAATCAGTAGTCATGAACTTGTGACTGATAATAAAAATCTCACACTGCAACTGCATGCAGGCAGGTGTGAGCTCAAACGTGAGGCTCCATGAAACAAATAATAATCAATCTGTCAGAATCCTGAGAACAGAATAGGTCATGGAGAAAGTAGAAACATCACGTAGATAAAAAGGAATAATTGAACATGGCGATGACCAGACAGCCGCCATACAAATATCCTCCACTGACATCCCTCCATGCAGATCCGTGGAGGATGAAAACCCTCTGGAGGAATGCGCTGAGATTCTCTGGAGGATCCAGCCCAGATGAACTGTAAGCTTCAGAAATGGTCTCACACAACCAGTGTGAGAAGCGCTGGGTGGATAGAGGGCGTCTTGAAGAGCTGTCCCTGTAATGCACGAACAGACGCTGAGAGCGGCGCAATGCGGCCGTGCGAGCCACGTAACACGAAAGTGTGCGCACGGGACAGAGGAGATGAGATGTTGCTTCCTCCTCAGAATTATGAGGAGGAGGATAAAACCCATCCAAGGTTATCACTCTCGATCTGAATGAGCTTGTGATGCTTTTCAGAGCAGGGTTAAGACGCAGTATAGTTGAACTGCCGCCAGCTTGAATTCTGAGACATGAGGGAACTCACTCTCTTGGCCGACGTTAGAGCTAACAGCAGGGTTGTTTTAAATGACAGAAATTAAAGTGAAACCTTATCTAAAGGCTCAAAAGGAGCTTTGATCAGAGCGCGCAGGTCCATCTTTAGGTCCCACTGTGGAGCTAGTGGATGTGACACGGGTCTGTGTCTCTGTACACCTTTCAGAAAAACGCTTAATCAGCGGGTGGTTAAAAACTGTTCTGCCACCGAAAAACCTCATAACAGGAAGAAGTAGCTGCAGCACAAGTTTTTATTGGGCTGAACGCTAAATTTCTATCCATGACTTGCTGTAGAAAAGACAGCATGCCACCTAGTGGACATGAGATGGTCTCCATGCCTTTCTCTGCGCACCAACACTGAAAATCTGTCCACTTTGATGTGTACAGCGCTGTGGTGGAGGCGCCTCATGTACCCTGAATCGTACGCACCACATCCTGTGGGAGGCCCATCTTTTCTAAACGGATCCGTTACGCGGCCAGACCCAAATGTGCTGACCTATTTCTGGGTAACTCCTGATCGCTCTTCCTGCCTGGAGGAGAGCATCCTCCCTCCACGGCAGTTTCCATGGCTGACCCGATATCAGTCGCTGCAGATTCCAGAACCACGGAACGCTTATGCACTCGGGAGCTACGAGGATGACTGATAGTTCTTCCTCTCGGACCTGATTCAGGGTCCGTGATATCCGCAGGACTGGAGGGAATGCATAAAGGAGCATTTTTGGCCACGGGCTGTGAGCGAAGGTGTCCACTCCTAACGGTGGGTCGCCTCGTGGTCTCAGTGAGAACCATAATTGACAATGGGCATTGTCCCGTGTGGCGGACAGATCCACTGCTGCTCGGCTGAACCTGCTCCAAATCCGAGAGATCAGCTTGGGATGGAGGCTCCAGTCTCTGTGGCGGGGACCGCCCCTCGACATTATGTCCGCTGCCCTGTTCAGGACGCAGGGAATGTACACTGCTCTGATGGAGAGCAGGTTTTTGTTTGCCCAACACAGCAGCTGTCTTGCAATGCGTAACAGTTGGACTGAGCGCACGCCTCCCTGATGATTTATGTAAGCTGCTGTCACTTTGTTGTCTGTGTGGATCAGAACATGCTGATTCCACAGCAGGAGGGTAACCTGCTGAGTCATCTTTCAGATCGTGAAATATTCTAGCACATTTATGTGAAGCGACATGTGGTCCAGTAACTATGCTCTCACTGCCTCGGACAGACACGTTCCTTCCCAGCCTGACAGGGACGCGTCTGTGAAAACTGAGACGTGTGACGTAGGCATGCTGATGGGAACTCCCTCTGACAGAATGAGGGGGTTTCCCCAGTGATTCAGATCGGTTCTCACGGAGGGTGTCACAGAGATAATCTGCCTCTTCTGGTGCACAGGATCTATGCGCAGGCGGGCGAACCATCTCTGAAGGCGTCTCATGTGAATCAGGCCCAGCGGAACCCATGACGTAGGCCACTGACATCATCCCCAGGAGTCACATGACAGGCAGAGCTGTCATTGTTACAGGGCTCTCATTGTGGTTGAGTTTAGCTCCACTCCCAGATAAATAATCATCTGGGATGGGCGAACTAAACTTTTTCCAGTTGATAGAAAACCCCAGGTTTAACAGGTGTAACGCTAGCGTTTTGGTCTGTGCGACTGCTTCCTATCTGGACCGAGCTAATAAAAGCAGATTGTCCAGATAAAAAATAATTCTCATTCCTACCATGTGTAACGACTGCAGAGCCGTCTCCACACATTTTGAGAACATGCGTGGGATGAGGGAATAGCCGAACGGTAGCCTGTGGTACTGATACGGAATCCCCTGGAGGAGAAACGCAGGACTTTCCTGTGTTTCGGGATGATGGAAATGTGACAATATGCGCCCTTCAGATCTATGGAGGTGAACCAGTCGTTCTGGTGAAGTTCTCCAGCTGCTCTTTGATTGTCAGCGTGTGGAATTGTTTCTCTATGATCGATTTGTTGAACATGGACAGGTCGAGAATGGGTCTCATCCCTCTGTTTTTTTTTTGTTTGTTTGTTTGTTTTTTTTGGAACCAGGATGTAGTGGGAGGAAAAAACCCATATTTTCCTCTCTATTGGGAACTCTGGAAATCATGTTTTTCATCAGGAATTCTTGAACTTCTGACTAGAGAGACGAGCTCTGTTCTGGTGAAGACAGAACTGTCTCTGTAATCCCTCTGAACGGTGGGGGTTGAGCTAAGAACTGCAGCATGTAACCCCTGTTGATCAGAGGGTCCGTCCATCTATCCAGGGAACACACTCGCTGCCACTCTGAGTAATGCTTGGAGAGCAGGCATGCATTTTGTGTTGTGTCATGTTTCTCATGGACGTCAAACAGACTAAAAACCCTTACTGCCATCACCCGCTCCAGAGATTCTCAAGGGGGGAACCCAATGGGGGGCTCCGACAGAAAAGGGCTGTATGTGTGCCTCTGTGCTGAGCCCAGGCTGCAGTCTCACATTAGAGCTGAGGTGAGCCGGCGCGCACTGAGAGGAGACGTGAGCGCTTTCTGAGTGAGACTCCATTTCGGTGGAGGCTGCAGCTGTTGAGGAGAAACACGTTTACCCCTGTTGCGCGGTGAGTGGGCAGAAACAGCAGAAAATAAAAACGGGCTCTGGCTGAGAGCCACGGATTTTCCCGGACTCGGTCTGCGGAAAAAACATAATTTTTAGCTGATGTGGCAGACAAGTGTTTTGTGATATTTACCAAACTGTGGTACCTTTTAAAACGCTGTTTAGAGGTTACCGGCTCGTTCTGTGTGGGGAATGTGTGAAGAGAGGCAGCTGTGAGATCAGTTGATCTGACAGTCTGGCTGGAATCAGAAACTTAACTTTCAGAGATGTTTCAGTTTTATTTCAAAACATACATCAAAAAACACACACATTCCCCTCAAGAAGCTGTTCCCTGGTGGAGAGGGCCGGCAGAGGAGCGGAGCGTGAAGTCGCTGTCGCAGCTGTGGAGCGCCTCTGCTCCTGTTGCTGGCCAAGGTGGTCCCTCCAGCGGCCGGAGGGGCGGGAGGAGGACTGTGACGTCACCAGATGGTGTACCGTCTCTGAGACCTCCTCAGACCTCTGCGATTTTTCAAGGATGTTCCTGAAGTTGGCCCCAAACAGTGCCTTTGGGGTGATGGGGCCCTCCAGCAGGTCTTTCTGCAGCCTCTCAGACAAGGATGGCGAGAAGCGGAGCCAGGTGGTCCTCTGGATCATGGTCATCCAGGCGGCGATGCGGGACAGGCAGACCACAGAGGTGGCGCACATGTTTATGATGACGTCAGCGGCTTTATAGAGAGAGCTCTTTGTCTCCTCCAACAGGTCTGCTTCCTCCAGCCTCTTTGAGATGCTGTAGGCCAGCAGGGCGACATTGTTGTTCGCCGTGGCCGCCTGGAATGAGCACTGGTGAGCTCGGTTGGAGACCTTTGTCACCACCCGGTCATGCTTCCCTGGAGGGACAAGTTGTTGGTCCATCCTGGAAGCTTTTGCCCCAAGCGCCTCCGCCAGGCTTGGCTCCATGGGGGGAACCGAGGGAAAAACTCTGATCGGTA